CGGGCGTGTGGGGGGGGGGGGGGCGATGCCTCCGACGAGGTCGAAGATTTCCCCGACGAGAGCAAAGTGAACGTGATCAAGCGTCGCTCAAAATGTCTCGATAGTGGTCCAGGTTTCGAAGCCCCCGACAATTTTGACAACTTATGGGTTTCAAAGGCTTATTTAATTGATTTTAGAGTCTACTTGTACAAAATACATATAATTATTTTTATCCCGACAAATTGCAGTTTAATGGTTTTGGTAATGGTAATGTTTTTTTTGGTTTTTTTGGTTTTTTTTAATGTGCGTATACAGTACAAGATACAAGATACAAGTCAACTTTATTGTCAAAAAATAAATTCTGAGAAATTTATTTTATAATATTATTATTATCTATTACAATATTTTCGTGAATAGTTTTATTTTTCCTTCTGAAGTCGAAAATAACTTTCTTAGTCTTTTTGGCATTTATTACAAGAAAATTCTCCTTTATCATTTCTAATATCTAACCCTAAAATTTACCTTCGAAATTGACTTTTGATAGACTACAGTACAATTTAAAGTCTACAATACCTTGAAAAGGAAAAATATTATTTTAATAGAGGCAAAACTATAAATGCCAATTCTCTTGCTCACCATTATTAAAAAATAAATAAAAAGGTCATTGACTTTATAATGGTATACAGTATGCCATTAAGCATTTTGAGAGAATGAATACAAAGCTCACAGTTAAAGTATTCATTCTTAAAAATGCTTAATGTACTGTATCAGAAAGAACATTTTTCGTGTCATTTGGGAAACCATTGTATCAGTTTAAGGCCATTTTGTAATACCATCTTTTGATTGGATACTTGGACATTATTAATTGCAATTTTCCTCTCAACTGACAGAAATAACGTACATAAAACCATTAAAGAAACACTATTAACAGTACACTAAGTTTTTTGGGGGTATTAAATTGTGATTATTTTGACAAAAACACCTCACAGAGAATATGTAAACCGAAAAAAGGTGCGTGAGTGATGATGTCTTTTTTTCTTCAGGTGAAACCACTGACTAAACACAAAGCAAGGCTTGTCTTAACAAGAAAACAAGATGCCGCAACTATTGTTAGGGCTACATCTGGTTTATGTAAATGTGCCCTCATTCACCATCTCGCACTGGCAGTGGAGATTATTGTTCTTTTTAGTTAGATGATACTGAAAAAATTACACTAATATATTAAATATTATAGAGGAAAAAGGAAAAATGATTAAACTATTAGTAAATATATAAATTGAAACTTTCTTTAAAAATGAAAAATATACGTTATCATTTTGGAAAACGTACAAAATATACACCTTTTTTGTCGTAATTGAGAGCAAAGAGCATTTTGTAAAACTTACAATTAATGTTCATAAATTTTTTTACTGTAGTTAAAATGGCAACCAAGTCTGATTTTCGGGGTTTTTTTTCTTCTTCTTCTTTTATTTCTATTACCGCATCCCAGAAATGAAATCGTATGGACATTTATATATTTCTGCATTATTGCATAAAGGACGCTAAAGCAATATCATATACACCATTTTAAATTAAATTCCAATATACTATTTATACCAGACACATACACGAATGTTAGAGACAAACGATTACACTTAAGACCTATTATATAGCTTTCGGCCAAAGGTTATTACACTTAGGACCTTAATTACACTTATGGCCAAAACACATATTCTCAACCGAATTTCTGTTGATAAATTAGCACCCTTACTATAGTTTAAATTACTATTACCTATGTTGAATCGAATTGATTGTGGGTTATTGATCAATTATCCCTTTCCTTGGTTGGCGAGTCTAATGGCCGAGTGGTTAAGGCAGGGGTGCCGCAACGTACAGCCATAATATCGGCGCTGGTTCAAACAACACGCTGCGCGCCTATGGTTCTGATGATGAAACGCATCCTCTCCGATAAGGACTATAGACCGTAAGTCATGTGCACTTTAAAGAACCCAGTACATCTTTCGAGACAGGTAGGAGGTTTACCTCCATGTACATCCCCTGTTGCAGATTAAAAAAAAAGATAGCGGTACCGGTTTTACCGTAGCTCAGACTGACACAATGAGACCCTAGCAAGTTATTGTACGAGTTAGCTCACACCTCGAGCGGTTTGAGACTTCGGTAAAGCGCTTTATAAATCGAATTACATCACATCACATTGCATATAATTTTTATTCTCTAAATATTTGCAGCCTAATGTAAGAAGAAAAGGAGAAATGTTTCACATAAATAAGTTGTATAATTATTATATCGATATTAGCTATTAATAATTCTGTTTTTTTATAGTGCATATAAAATACGAAAAATATCTCACAATGCACTTTGAAAAGACCTGATGAATGTAAAGGATGTCTAATTCTGAGTGTAATGAAAATTATGAGTTTTAGTTCAGATTTCAATTGACTTTATATTTTCAGATTAAACTCTTTTCCAGAGTTTACAAGTCTACAGGAGTTTCTGTTTTCCAGTCTCTAGGAAATTCCACATTTCTGCTGGAATTGAAATTTCTCCTGGATTTCTCAAGGATTTTAACGAATTTTCACAACTAAGCTTTAGGCTCAGTAAGCTAAATTTTCCCATTCTTTTGCAGACAATAAGGCAGACCTAAAATTTATCGAACATTCTGTGTGGCAATAACGTATTAACAGTGACCCACCTGCCTTAGTTTCTTTGTTAACATTGCGATAACTTTGTACATGTGTGTACTTGTGTTGTGCGTTTTATAGGCAGTATACTCGTCGCAAAAAAAAAAAAAAAGTCCCCAGGAATTTGAGTTTCACAACTTGGGACCCCTGCCTTTTACAATTTTGACTTAATGTCGGCCTATATCCTTAAAATGAATTTTAAAAATTTAAGCAGTACTTTAACATCAAGAATGTGTAATTATGAGTGTAATGTAAATGGAATTGCTGCTATTTGACTGTTGATAGACTACAGTACAATTTAAAATCTACAACACCTTAAAATGATAAGAATATTATTTTAATAGATCCAAAAATAAATGCCAATGCTATTCCTTACCATTATTAAAAAATAAATAAAAAGGTCATCAACATTATAATGGCCGACATCATTAAACCTTTGAGGGAAAGCTTATATAAAGCGCACTTTTAAATTATTAATACGTCAAAATGCTTTCAATTTCTTGTATTAGAAATAACGCTTTTCGTGTCATTTGGGAAAACCATTGTATCAGTTTAAGATCATTTGTAATACTTTCTTTTGATTGGATACTTGGACAATTATAATTGCTATTCGCCTCTCCTGGCATAAATAACGTACATAAAACCATTAAAATATACTATTTGATAGCCACAATTTTCAAAGTACACAATTATACACCTTGCTGAACCAATGTCAACCGAAAACAGGTGTGTGAGTGATGATGTCTTTTTTCTTACGGCTATCGCGAAAGTTTGTTTTTTTATTGCTGATGAGCTTTGTTGTATTAATATTTATGGCGGAACCAGCTGACTTAGGTACTGTAATGAACTTATTTTAATGATATTATTTATAGTTGTTTATTTTAAAGAAGTTTACCAATTAAAACAAATGTTAAAACTGTGTTAATAGGCCTAGACCTACTCAGTTTATTAGGTAGTTTTTAGCGTACGACTTTAACGTTAACGAATAGGTAAAGATATATTATGTAGCTGGCAGATAGTTATTTTTAAGGTTAACGTTAATCGCTTTATTTAAAATGGGGTTCGAAGTTTTACTTAAACAAGTGACGTAAAATTTCAAGTGCTAGTATTTAGTAGATTGATAGGCCTAGGTCAACACAGAAATTAACGGAAGAAAAACCTTTGGACTGTGTATTACAACGTTCTGAGGTGAGTATATTTCGTATATTTATTAATAAAATATTAAGTAAGATTTGGTACAGTTGCCCATAGAGTGTTCAAATCATAATTCTCCCATCGTTGTTGGCTGCCGAGGCCAACTGTGAGCCTACATTAGGCCTAAGTTAGGCGCGGCTCGTCTATAAGCAGACGGCCCAAGACCTTCAACAAGTAAATATTTTTAGGTATCTTTCCCTAAAATCTGCCTCGTAATTAAAGCGTTGTACTGTATTACTAAACTTAGTCTTTGTTTTCAATTCAGCTAAAAACACACAACGGTGCTTGTTTTAGCAACAACAATAAAATGACAATGCTGCAAATAATGTTAACAATCCTCTTTTGTTAACACTTAATGGTGGCCTAAAGATGAAGAATTTATCTTGCTTCATGATGTAAATAAATTACCAGACAGGTTTAAATCTACCATATTGGAAATACAACATAGGTCTATTTGGTTTAGACCATTATAGGGTGATTAGGACAAAGCACAGCTCATGTAAGGCTTCATTTGCATTTCCACTTTAGTATTAAGTTTTTCCCAGACCGTATCTACATTTAACTCCTATTATATACATTGCATATCTTTTACTGTTCTTTAACAAAAGGGCAATATACAAATTGATAATTAATCACAATAGGAAAGAAAGATGTAAAAAAAACACGATTGAATTATAAATGAGACAATTCATAAAAATAAGCATCTTTCTTATTTTTATTTTGGTTCAAATAAATAGTTGTACAACCTGTGTAAAATGACACTTACATTGTGATTGACATCTATATCCACAGCCTAAGAAAGGTTAATAATATATTCATTGTGATTTGTCTATTTCTTTTACAGACTTAGAAATATATGGCGATTAAATAATGCATTAAGGATTCCACCTACAATAAATTGCAAAAACAGTGCTATAGTTATTGGTATTTAGGCACTGTGTGTATACTTAATAAGATGTTCATATCCTTGTCGCTTGCAGACATTATACCAATGTCCGGCCAATCTGCTCCTGAACTATGCATGGCTTGGCTTGTAGCGAGGTGATGGATTATATTTTTACATACACATAGGTTAAATTATTTGGAAGTAGCTGTATACACAAATTGAATAAGGTACAGAAGTTGCGGCGTTTTTTTATAGGAAATATTTCTTGTTAATCAATATTATTATTATCACCTTCTTCAGTAATATTAGATCACTCTTGACTGATGCCTAATAAATTTCTGCAAATTACTGAATGTGTGACTGCCAAAGGGACACCCCTCGTCCAATATTTTGGCAATGGTGATCTTTCCAATGACCCAAAGTCTGTGTGTATTTAACAACTACTTAGTTGAAATTAAGCCCCCGAAGTAACATATCTTTGAAAGAATTCTACACAACCCGACACCTAATTCGTTATTTCTTAGCCCTGTGAACATAAGTGAGGTGACCACTATTCACTATTCTCCTGGTATTGACGGTTTTCATCATCATACTTCATTAATTAAACACGTTTTTGATCTGTTGCATTCTGAGTAATCTTCACTTAATCGGATAACCAATGATAAGTGAACCACTATCATTACTTAATATACACAAAACATCTTGTGATGTGCATTGGCTAATAGGCCTATTTTTATGTTTAAGCCCTATAACAACATTCATTATAGAAAAATAGCATTAACATCACTAGGCCTATATATTTTAGTGGTCTTTAATTGGAGGGGAAATGTCCATGGTCTCTAAATAGAGGAGTCTTTAATTTGAGGGAACAGCTAATGTTAAAAGATAGGAATTTAAACGGGGGCCACAGAAAAGTGGTTAATTTGAGATGGTCTTTAATTAGAGGCATAGTTACCAACCGTCTCGTATTTCAAAGTGATTTTGGTTGAAACACGCATTTTGCAGAAAACGCAGCCCAGTCCTCGATCACTTTCAGAATTACCGTTCAAATCGTATAGTCAGTTTACCAAATATTTTAACTCCATTCCTAATTCCCGTCCCAATAATTGTGGTGTTCCTCAGGGGTATTTGTTAGGTCCATTCCTCTTATATATTAATGATATCCATCTGTGTCTTCAAACCCCCTTTCTATTGACTGATGACACTACTATTTTTTATTCTAACAAAAACGTTCAAAATTTATTTGACACTGTTAATTCTAACATCATCCCCGTCCCAATATAGCTGACAAACTTCTAATCAACCACAATAAATGTAACTTCATGTTGTTTCAAAGCCCCCAGATGTCAATCTTTCTTGACCTTTCACTCTTAGAGATCTATATTGATAATTATGCCATACCAGATGTTCAATATACCAAGTTCCTATGGGTTTATCTTGATTGTGGTCTAACTTGGAAGAAACATATCAGTGAAATTGAAAATAAAATTCTCTAAAAATCTTGGTATAATTTTTAGGCTTTCCTCATTTCCCCCCTTAATATACAACGTTTACTTTATTACTCGCTAATTCTGCATTTTCTGAACTACTGCAAGATTGTATTGGCAAATACCTACCACTATATTTGGTGCTCCACCGCGGTCCCATTTTCTAGTTTATTTGTCATTTTAATTCTCCTCAAACTTCCTGACATTAACTCTCTCCAACAAGGTATTTTCATGTATGCATCTTCTCACTCCATTTTACCTTTGTATTTCAGTGACCTCTTCAGATTCAGATTTATATATATTTTGGTTTTAATTTGAAAAGGAATCAAATTGAATAGAATATTTAATTAGTGAAATGGTGATACAAACGCCTATTCACATTCGGCCCATCATTGGTAATTGCAGTAACTTGTTCAAACCGATCGTGTGGAGGACCTCAAAGAGTTTCTCTAATTTTAACTGTTGTGCCATTAAATTCTGAAGTTAAGTAGCTTGCGGCATAGCGGTTTTCATTTCATTTCATTTTTTCATTTTATTCGAAATTCATATACAGTATAAAAATGTCAAGGATTTCAGTGTTGCTGATAGACAGGCAAGGTTTTTGGCCAGTTACGGTAGCGCATAAAGCATTTATCAAGCCTATTACTAGGCCTACACTGTTTACATTCACCAATAGAATTTAATTCTTTCCTCCGTTCGAATACTTTTGCCAAACCATTTCCTAATTAATAAGAAAAAAACTAAACAGTATTATTTTTTCCGAGCTCCTCTGACAATCTTTAAAACATAAGTTCGCTAAACAAGGTATAAAAAAGAAATAACATCTAAAATAAATATATTTAAAAATAAAAGCAACTGTACCGGCATGTTATTATATGCTTTTACGTTTCTTTTTCATGAATCACCTAGATAAATCAAGGATTGATTCTACCACGCAAAAACAGTGGTGTTGTCAGGCTTTATTTCAACAGGGAATAAGTGGTGCGACAAGGGGGTCTGTCAACTTCCGGCACGGTACGGGACCCATCCCTTGGCTACTTAAAGAAACTGCAAAATTTTGACAGACGATCCGTATATGACGAAATTGTGGGCCTTCTAATTCTCCGCAGGGGCCACCACTGCACAACAAGAATTCTAATCGATTAAATCGTGCATTGACTCAATACAATAATACTGAATATATATATTTTCAGCATGTACCGTACCTTACTTATTTAAGATTGTTTTTCAGCTCTACTTTCTTATCGGAAACCTGTCAATAGTTCCTCCGAAAGTAGACTGTTCTCTGGTCCTCTATCTACTGTTACAGATGGCATTGATTCTGCTTTTCAAGAAATACCTCCATGTTTTCATTCTGGTAAGTTTCATACAATTTTTACTGGTAGTAGATTCTATTCTTTTAGTTGGTGTACATAATCAATTTTCAATCATGCTGTTTCAATGTCTGAATGCTTAGATTCCAGTAAGGCATTTTGTAGACGACATTCATTGTTGTGTACACTTAATTCAAGTCAGCCATTTTTTGTTGATTCAAGGGTCCCAATTCTTCTGCGGGTGTTGGAGGTCTACCAGAAACTTGAACGACCTCCTGAACTACTGCTAATCTATCCCATAACTCGCAATTTCATGATTTGTACTGTATTTCTATACTAAGTTAGCGAATTAAAGTGTCAAGAATGCTATAAAAAAAAAACAGACCAACCAGTAGTGACTACTTCCAGCTTAGGACCTCTGAGATATTTTTTGGTTGTGTTCAAGTTTATCCAGTTTACTAATTAAGAATAGCTGAGCCATGTTTTTTTTTAACTACTGCCCCTTGGGAGGCAAGTAGACACTATGTTGTGATTTGGCACTTTACCGTGTAAGAGTAAATCTGGTTAAACTTTTAAGAATAAATCCGGTAAGAAGAAATGGTGTGATGAGTCATGAGCTAAAGACAAAAATAAAATGCAAATTCACGATAATGCCATGCTAGATAAGACCTGTCTTAGTTACAATAAGTTATCAATTGAAGTTACAACCAACACAGAAAGCTGCAGTTAGATAAGACCTGTCCTAGAAAGTTCACTAGAAAGTTACTACAGTAGCAAAAAATATAGGCTCCCAGCGGGAGCGTGTTTCTATGCCCTATACTGCCTTACTGTATTATGATTACTAATAAAGTGTCCACATGGGATTCGGTTACTGTATCAGGAAATGTGTGGTGTATTTTTTATATCTTTTGTACGTGACCCATCATGCACATAGCCGTCGCAAGCATTTTGCAACTGGTCCGGCCATTATAGTCAGAGCGGGGTTGGGGGGAGTGGAACTAAACAAATTTTGTTGTAAAAGGGTCTCTGAGCATCCACATATTAGCCTCATCATGGTTGTTGAACAACTTTTTTGCAACTCTCAATGCCCGGAAATAAATGTGGACAATTCGTAGAGCCTCTAGCCCCTCCCCTCAAAGAAATAAAATAAGCGCGGAGATAGAGTCTATGTTGGAAATATGGTACATCTGGATGCCTGGAAATACAAGCTGGCAAACCTGTATAGCCACCACCCCTCCCCATCCTGTCTGTTGGCAGACAAAGATTTAAAGTTAGTGGGGACTAGAGATATACTCACCTCTGTCCCATATGTTTTGAGCCCGGAGGTGAGCTAATTTTGAAAATTATGGCACCTAAATATGTTATTGTTATGAAAATATGTAGTACAATATATACTGTACATCGTACATGAACTAAATTTATCTATATTAAAATATTTATTCCCAGCGTACACTATATTCCATGATATTCTAAGCTTCGTGGCATGAATATATCCCCATAGCAGGCTTGAGGGTGTGTGAGTAATGTTCATGAGGTACCGGTACTCTCCCATATTTAATAGGCCTACTAATAGGAAGTTTTTTTTTTTATAAAGAATATGACCTTACATGGCATCATATTATTCATACTGGTATGACTCAAGAAAAAATAGAGATAATAAAGGCCTATGTCCTGTACATGATTCTAAAGAGTGGGCACAGAAAAGAAAGCATCCAAGTTAAAAATGCTATATCTGGACACAGAATGTGGTAGCATTGACCAAATTCAACTCGTAAGATTGTTTACAAGTCATGAGAATTGTAGGTCTACTGCGAAAATGATATACGGTATTGTTCAAAATGTAATTGAGTTGTTTATTCCTCCATGAATAAATAAAGTGCAGGAAACACGAATATGTACAAGGAATAACAATAACTGTAATTATATCTACACGACGTGCAGGGTATTGAGAAATATTAACAATATGCAATTAATTATAGGCCTAGAACATGTTCTATGAATACACATGATACAGTATGCTATGAATTATCTATGGAAATACAGTAGGCCTCCTATGCCTATACAAATAACGTCTAAACATTGTCAAAATTACTAACGTACTCGAGCGAATAAGCGCCCCGTTTGAATAAGCGCCCCTACCGAATAAGCGACCCTCATAACGAGAAAATCTCCTTATGCGCCCCGTTTGAATAAGCGCCCCTTCTTATTTGAATAACCCAATCAATCCTGGGACTGTGGATGTTGGCATGATTTGTGGTGTGGAGTGGAATCACATTCTCCTTTAGTCAATATCAAAGTGAGGATATTTATCTTCGACAGACAGACAGTATATTTCTAACTTTTATCTTCTTTCATTTGTCTCCTAGTCCTATTACTCCTTTTCCGACAATTTGCACCTTTAACACATTCTCATCTAAGTTTTCAAGAAAACCTGCAATGATCATGCCGTCCTGCTATTCTCAATCGACCGATGGCGAACAAGCTAACCACCACCACTAATTTCATCTGCTATTCTGCTGTTATGTAATACTGTACTCACAACATTCTTGTCATGACAAGCCATGCTCTCTGGACGATTATGTTTTCCGCCGCAGCACCATTCGTAATTTGCGGTTTCCTGATGTCCTTATTTAATCGTTTTTCATTCAAAATGTGCCTCTTGGGATTTAATAAGTTCTCATAAGAACCCCTCGATTTTCATCTATTTCCATAAGCGCCCCCTCAATTTTCACTCTGTTTTATAAGCGCCCCGTTCGAATAAGCGCCCCATTTGAATAAGCGCCCCTCAAAAAGTGCAAAAAATATTTTATGCGCCCGGGCGCTTATTCGCGCGAGTACGGTAATTGTTTTTGAGGGTGTAGACTTTTCTGTTATTTGCCATTCTCTCTTATTTGATATTTTTAACTGTAATATTTCTACCTTTAATGTAATAGGCCTATGTATGTAATATTTAATATGTGAAACTGAATTTTTATGTAATTTTATGTGCCGTATTTTTAATCTTTAGACATTTGTTTTTTATATCATTTTGTATTTTTATGGCGACTGTTTTTTTTTTTTTTTTTTTTTTTTTTGGTGTTTTGACGCACTGTTAGGTCTTTAATAAATAAAAAAATAAATAAAAATAAATAAAATATGTAATAATATTGAGAAAAAGTGGTCCGGCCAAAGCCGGTGCGGTTCCGAAGGCCCTGATGCACCTCCGCCGGATTTACCCTTTCAGTCATCTTTAACTGCCAGACGAAAGCATAGTGCATTTACCCCCGAGGGGGCAAAGACACACAAACATGTAAAGGCGTAGACACACTTTCTGCTGGGAGTTTTTTTTTTTTTTTGTATAAGGAAAGTACGGAAAGTGCCAAAACACGAAGATTATTTCAATGTCATCTTCCTTGTATAAATGGTTGTTTTCATCTCTTGCCTCTAGCTGTAATACTATTATCATTTTACACAAGATTGGCAACACCTTTAGACATTATATTTTTAATAGTTTTTGTTGTTTACTGAAAACGTACTAATACTTCTATAAACAGGTTGGGACTTTGACCTTTTCTTACGTATTTCTGTGTGTGTGCGGGGGAGGGGGTGGGGGTAGGCACACACAAGGTGTGTAAACACAAAATCTCATAAACTGTAGGCCTACACATGATCTAACTGAATTCATTTAATAATAATAATAATGATAATAATAATATGCCTAATGATGACGATAGATTTTCAAGCAAATAGAACACTCATGTGGTGCCCCTAGGAGGCAGTGGTGGCAGCAGGATTTACCCAAGGGGGTAGAGGTGGGAAGCGATGTCCCTGACAATAGCATAAGCTGGAAACTTTTTATAGTAACCACAGCCGTGATGAGCGTAGCCGTATGATTGATGATTGTACATTTATGCCATTTATATTGTAATGGTGGTTTTATTTTTGTGGTTGTTAGAAATGGGATACGGTGAATGGTTGGCTGTCGATCTGCAGGATATTTATCAAGTTGAAAAAGTCTCTGTTATAAACCGAATTACGTGTAAGTTTCTAATGGATATACTTTACATAATCTGGGTTTCCAGAATTATAAAAAAGAAATGTGAATGAGGCAAAACTCTGGCCATTTTGGATATTCTAAGCAGTTTTGATACGTTTTAGTATGTAACGGTATGCCTGTACGACGGTACAAACACATGTTTTAAGAAGTGTAAACTATAGAAAATTATATTTTTGAAATGATTTCTTATAATTAGCTTGGGAACCTGCCGTTAGAAGAATAAAAGACGCAGAAATCATCATTGTTACTGATATTGAAGATCGTAATGATGGTCAATCGTGCGGCTATCCAGTGACTTTGGACCAGGTTTATAAAAGTCCCTTAATCGACTTTGCATGTACTCCTTCAATCATTGGCCGCTATGTTATTTTGTGGATTAATGGGCTTGAATATTTACATGTGTGCGAAATCCGTGTGTATGGCAACACAACGGCACGTAAGTTAAATACTATGTTAATTTCTATAATCATATGAAATCTTCGACACAGCAGTTATAAACATGTAGACTTTGTTTATAGGTCTATATCTAATACCAACACAAACCAAATAATTGGCAAAACAAAATAAGTTTGTGGAGGCGTTTCTTTTCTTTAAGATTACAATGGAGGTTTGGAAGCTGTTGGTTTTTGGCCTTTGAATAGGTATTACGAGTTTCACGATATATCTAGATTTAAACATGATGGGCACGCATCTTCTGGTTGGCTATTGACAACTGGTGTAAAAAATACTATCGATCAGGCCATCGAGTTTACATCTGCAATTCTTGTGATCCAAAATTATCATAATTTTGTGAGCGGATCTGCGTTTTCCATCTGCTTTCATATCTATCCGTTTACGGATTCGTATGGGTCTATAGTCATATTCAGAGGGTTCACACAAACTTTTAGCATTTCGCATGCTCAACCAAGTGGTTTTACTCACATTTCGGAAGTTGTTGTTTGTTATGACGGTGCTGAAGTGATTCGATGTAATGCCCTGATGCCCGATGAATGGACTTTCTTCGCTGTAACTTTCAATGGATTTCTAAGGCAAATGACAGTCTGGAGGAACAGTGAGATAGTCCATACCGTGAACACGTCATTCTCTACGATTGACATGAATGTCACAGACATTAAGTTTGCAGAGGATCCTACAGTACATATGAAGCTGAGTAGGATTCAGATTTACAACAGAGCTTTGACTGAGGCTGAGATGAAAACAGCTGAAGAACGGGGTAAGTCACCTAATCCACATTCAGATCACTATCAGATTGAACATTGAACAGTGTTGATTTATTGTTCCCATCATTTAGTTTTTAGTTTTTAAAGCAGGCTCAACATAGAGAGAATATTTAATTCACTACTACAGTATAAAGGAGGAACGCAGCACTGACACATTTTGCTTTTTAAGTTTTTTCTTCCTACCAATTCCATGTAAATTATTCCAATGCTTAATCAACATTTAACTCGTATAATTAAATATTGCATCCGATAATGTTTTTTTTTAATCAAAATTGTAAAACAGATTAATATTTAATATGAATGCATAGGACTGATCACAAAATCACAATGGCCTACATCTATTATGGTAAATTTGGGTTTTTTTGGCATTTGATTAAACTTATCTATCTATCTATCTATCTATCCATCGTTTTATAAAAAAGAATGTATCAATTTTGTGTTTTCACAGGACCGGTGGTCCACCAACGAATCACCCGCTTGATCTCTTCAAAAGAAAAAGAACTAAGTGGTGTAATATTGATTAGCTTCAACGTAGAATCAGCAACACGCTGTGCTGCGTTTTGCAACCACGATCTTGAATGCACAGGTTTCGTCTACAACAACGATCTCTGTTGTCTGTTCAACAAAATTGAACTGGTCACTACCCACAAACATAATCCTGATTCTGTTCAGTATGAAATATTATACGAGTGTTTAGAAAAAAATTGTGTTAAATAAACAAAGCAAAAAAAAAAAAAAAACAACAATAAATGTTATGTAACTAAGAAAATCTTCAAAAGTTATCTGTGAAGAAAAATATTGTTTTTAGTTTGGTAAATTGGATATTGAAATAACAAAGTTGTGAAAGTAACCAAAATGATGATAATAATGGGCAACAGTGGACTTTACAAGTTGAATTTATATCATTACATATACAGCGGGAGGTTCAGTAGACAATTGAATCGGGGAATCGTATGTTTAATAACAATATCAATGGCGGATCCAGAAATTTAAAATAGAGGGGGCCCATGGAGGCACTTTCACAGACGAAGAAAACACGTCAGCCCCAACCATGGTTGGGGCTCAGGTAAGGAAATCTATGATTATATCACCTCTAGATAGCCGTAGGTGGCACTTGCAGAAATTTTAGTATAAATTTCTTTTCATTTGCATTTTTTAAGGATTTTGACAAATACTTAATCCATCACTGGATTCAATAATGATATAATAACCAACAGTTGATGTCAGGGAGGCATTATACTGTTGAGCCACTTTAGTCAGCCTATAGGGGTAATCGTACGGGAATAGTTCTGCTTAAGGTCCACACTAAATTTCTCCTTTATTGACAATTGCCAAGGTGTCATGCTTGTTTTGTTTGACCTGTATACACAATGGCTCGTGTGCACTACATCGAAAAATTAACTTTGATGTTGTAATGACAGCATTACATTTAACTGTTGATGTGCTCGCTGTCTTTTACAACGTATAAAAGAATAGCGGTACGCGGTACTTTGATATTTTCATAATCAAAACAATACTTTATTATTTTTGCTCTATTCAGTCATGTTTCATATTCTGGTATTATACGTATGCACACTTCATATAATTAAATACTCTATATACGAATGAATGTTATTCATATTGAAAATACAGTGCTTAAAATGAATGTTTTTACCTTTTACAAACCCTTTTGAATTTGTATACAGTCTATTAATTAACTAATTTTATGTTACTTGTTAATTGGTACTTCTATAGCGCTTATTCTTTGCCCACACCAACCAAAACTAACAGAGTATGCTTTTATGAGTCAAAGACCAACGTAAATCAATAGTACAGTAATAAAAGATAAAAAGATTAAAATGAAACGTGCAAAAACTACCAACAGAATTGAAATAATCTAACCTTGAAAGTACTAGAGCCCTTACGGCAACATGAGAGGTTTCTCTATCAATGAACCTTCTAATTCGCCAAAGATTTCTAACATGAAATTTAACACACCGACAAAAAAAAAATGACTCGAAAAATGAAGGCTTAAGATTAGCAGATGAGCAAAATATAACTCCAAGTTGCCGACACTGCATGGCTTGATGGTATATCCCCAAGAAAGATCAATACATTTATCTGATCACGAGAAAGGTAGTAGGCCTACAGTATTTTGAATCAAGAACTAGAAACTGTGTTTTCTTCTCATTTAGCTTGAGGTTGTAGTATAAAATCCACTTCTGAATATCACTAAGACAGGGGGATGGTTTATGTAGTTACGAATTGATTCTTAAAAAGATGCAGAGATCAAAACAAAAATATCGTTAACGATACCACGAAAAGACACAAACTTAAAATATCATATTTTGTAATTTTTTTCTTCGACATTTTGATTATGTACATAGAACTCTACCAATTCACGCACATAAATTTTAAGAGCGCAACTACATTATTACTAATTTGTTACAGCACACAAACAGAGAATGTGGTTTTCACGAACCATGGAGGAAATATATTTCCTCCATGCACAAACAGACACAAACACAAACTTTCAGATGGAAGAAGGGCGTGCGGGGTTGCAATTGTTGAGATCGGCTAGATCAGTGTGACCACTGCTTGGGTATTTACCCAAGATCTTGGGTATTTTGACTTAGTCTTGGGTTCTTGGGTATTCCGTTCAATCCTTGGGTATTTTATTTTTACTAAGAAAATTAAATATTTTTGTAATAGAGGAGGAATTAAGAAGTAACAAAGTATATTTCAGTCCATTCAAGTAAAAGCAAAACTCAACGAAGTGCACATAACATTGTTAATTGACTGTTAATTGCTATAAACATGGGTTCAGAATTGTTGAATTTGTGATTTGCGTTGCCATTGATCTTACCTAATTAATGCATTACATAATAAAACTTGATCACTGATCTACTGATAACACTGGCCGACTGAGGGCGTATTTTTCTATTGGTATTATCACCTCATGAATATTAATTTTAATAATTAACACAATTACAATAAAAAATGGTTTATAAATTGAACTAAAAGGGAAATTATACATGCGAAAAACACGTTTTTTTCAAATTTTAATGCATTTTCTGGAAGCTTGGGTAATTTTTGGCAATTTTTGCTGAATCTTGGGTAATTTCGACCCAGTCATTGGGTAAATAAAAAATTGTGAGTGGTCACGCTGGGCTAGATACCGTAAGGCCTGGCTGGGGTGGGCTGGACGTAAACATTATTCCCTAACCTTTCTTAGGCATAGCGATACAATTCTTGCAGTATAACTTCGATTAGGCCTATACAAATACATCAAGTGTGAAATTATTAGTAAAAATATAATGGTTTAAGCAGGATAAGCCTAATTTGTAGGCCTATAATCACCCTTGACTACAATTATTGTAAAACAGACTAAAATGCAGTTTATGTCTGACAACGGAACTTCGCTTTACGTGTAAACAGCCTATGCTAGGTTTATTTCTATCGTTTTCATGAACAGACGCAAAATTTTCACGCTAATTAACAGGTTAATCGAATAAATAAATTGAACATTTGATTTTTTTTAATGCTTTATTTTAAACATAGGGCCTATGTAAATATTTGATATTTTTATATCTTGATAGTGAAAATTACAGTTTTGTTTTTGTTTGTAGTCCACTTCAAACGCGTTTTTCTCTAGCTGAGAGATAATAATATAGAAATTTCTATAAATAAATAACATCAAAGTTAGTCTCAGTGCTGCTTTTAATTTTCTTTGAACAATCTTACAATTAAAAAGGAAGCGCTGAGAGGGGAAAGCGCAATTGTGAAGTAATTTTAATTAATGAAAGAAAATCCCTGTCAATTAACACACAGTGAGCAAATATTTTGCTGATTTTTTTTTTTTTTTTGCAGACTCTTATTGGCTGGTAATTAATTTAAGAATATTTTGTTGTAAAAATGTCTGTAAATTAGTGAAAACGAATTTTTATTTTTAACTTGTTTCTAGTCGGAAATTAAGTTATTTGATCGTTTTAAGTGAGATATTCTATATTTAGGCCTAATTGGATTTTATTAAACAACAGGGGATTTAATGGACCAGTACACTAGGGGATTTAATGGACCAGTACACTGGGGTATTCCCCCCCCCCCACTACTATTCTCTAAGGATGTACTGGGTTCTTTCAAGTGCACACGAGCCGAATGCCTACACTGGCCCTACGGTTTAAAGTCCTCTCCGAGAAGACTTGTTCCACCACCGGCATTGGCGAGTGAGCCGTTCGAAACAGAGCAGATATTAGAGCTGAAGATTACGGTGCTCCTGACTTAACCCCTCGGCCAATCAACTCGCCGTTGAATATTTTATAACCGAGAATACCATATCTGTGCATATATTGTTGTTACGTCACAGGGTTTTTTTCGCCTCAGCCTCAGCCATGGTGGGGCTGAGGTAGGTATGGAGTTGTTAGTATTTGCCATCCTCTCCTATTATTTTCATATTATTTTTTTACAAAAAATAATTGATGTAATCAAAATTGAACGTCATCAATACTGTCAACTTAGGACACTTTGAAAAAACATAATTTAATTTGTAGTCTAAAAGTGCTACTTTCAAGTTCAGCTCATATTAGTTTAATATAATGACCATGAAGTAAAATGTATTTAATATAAATGTTTTATTTGCATTTTTTAAAGTTTAAATTTTTATTAATATCCATTACTGCATTATTATTGTTATTAAATACAATTGATCGATTCAGTATAATTCAAACTTTACTTGGTTATTGTTGAAATTCAAAATTTCTTACATTGATACTGCATATAATATAGTTTAAAACAAAAATCTGCATTAAATTGACAATTTACGTTCCATTTACAAATAAATAAAACGTATAAAATGAAATTGTACGGTAAATCAGCAATTAATTATCTATAGTATTGCATAACTTGTAAAACATTGTTTATAACATATTTTATAACATCTCAGACTCTATTAATTTTTCCAATTCAATCAATAACACAAATGTCATAAATGATAATCTATTTATAACCTGTTTTTCACCATGCACATCAACATAAGATTGGCTTCTTTCAACTTGGGAACACTGCTAATCTAACAGTGAAACATCACATGTACAGTACTACAAGTTCACTCAAACATTTTAAAGCAATTTGTGAACTTATTATTGTCTACTCTCTATTTTTCTTTGAAAATATTTAGCATGTCTCAATTCATCATTATATAGTACTATTATACTTATTGACTTGTACACAACTACTTATACACTTTAATATATTTCAATAATATTCCATAATAGTAATAATAATAATAATAATAATAATAATAATATTTCAGAAATAGCAAATGAAATAGCAAAAAAGGACCTAGACATCATATTCAACGATGAAGGATGTCTATGTACACTGCAAATAATCTTTGTTGAGCCATGCAAGATGGTACTATTCATGAGGTTAACACAGGAAAAAATATAAAAACAAAAATAAGAAGTATAGAAGAAAAATATTTTCACATCAACGGAATCATGATAGTCAACACTGCTTTAATTTCTCTGTTTTACTGACAAAATATACATAATAATTTCCAAAACAGACACCAGTGGCATATCTAGTTTTGAATTGGGTAAGGGCTGATGGGGAAGTGTTGAGGGGAAGTGCTGAGAGTGAAGCGCAAAGCTGAAGTAAGGTTCTTGATGATTATACATTTTTTTAATTTTCAAAAATACAGTTTAAAAAAGTGATTTTTATCTACTCGAGCACATTTTTTTTTTTGCTTTGAACATGTACAATTGGGAAGATTGGGGTAAGGCAGACACAAATAAGAGATGGAAATCCAGTAGATATTAGCTTAAACCAAATAGGCATTACTGCAGTAACACTGAAAGACTTAACTATAATTATTTAAAAATCATACTAAACTATTGTATGATTATAATCAATAACTTTTAAATTGATTACAATAAAATCTAAACATATTAAAACTTTGATATTAAAATCCTATATATATAATGATTATATTTATAATAAAATTTTTTCTGTTATATATTTAAGTATCTGATACCAAATTTTAAGTATAATTTCAATATTGTACATTTTAGTAAACTTCTTCTATTTAGTTATAAATTCTGCCATAAGAAAATAAATTGTAAAAAAGTAAATTTTTATTATTGTCATTCCCTTATATCCATATGTGATAGGTTTAACTGAAATATAAATGCAGAAAATTAAACTATACAATAAGTGTAAATAAGATGCAATTATACTATTCTTCAGCAACAACAAAATCTGAACACACTCTAAAAAAAGTCATATATCAATTTAATCATTTTTCTAATAGTAAAACAACTTATATAAATAACTATATCAGCTGATATACAGTAATATTGTTTACTTTAAAGCTCTCTAATTTTAAGTAGATACACTAATTCTCAATTTAAACAACACAAAATGTTACAGGGGATCCTTTTTAAATTGTTACACAGACTTCAGTAAGACATTCATACTAAGATGCTGTTGTATTCTAACTACTGAACTTAACCTGTGTTACAAGTAAAAAATAATTATCAGTACTTATTAATTATGGAGAATTCCAACGTTCTCACTGTTCAATGCTAATTGCACTTTTAACACTCAGGCAGGAAAGACTTTAAAAAGAAACAATCATCCCGGTTTCGAAAACCGGAGTTGAGTTTTTTGCTACAATTTTATACAGCACTGCCATGCCATGTCAGCAGAAGTTCTACTTTTTAATAATGTTAACTTCAAATTAAAAATTGTTTTAAAAAATTTAGTTCAATTTATAAGTTTTTTTATCAGCTGTACTTTTTAATGTTTCATTTTTTGCATTTCGGTTGCTTTTGATGATGGTGTAAGAGCAGTTTACTGTTTGGGTTCATGCCTTTTCTTTGCTCCTGGCAAGATTGTACTATTACTTTGCCAAATAATTATTATTGTTGTTATTGCTGTCATTATTGTTTTTGTTATTGTTGTTGTTGTTGTTATTGCTGTCATTATTGTTTTTGTTATTGTTATTGATCAATTGCATGTAGAATACTGTAGTGTACTCGAGTTTGGAGCTCATGGCTCCATCTTTCTTCAGAGTGTCAATGGCCATATATGACATAACTAACTCTTAAATTATTGTTTAATTACTCACGGCCAATTTGTCCTGTCTTCTGTGTTTGTGGACTGGTGACTTAAATTCAGAACAATATATTCAAAAAGCTCGGCGCATAGCAGATCTACTTTGATGTGTTTTAGTTGATCAGTGAGATATTTTCTTTGTTGGCCATTTAAATTTTCTTGGTAGTCTTCACCAATGTCATCAAATGGATCCTGAAAAAATTATAACAATAATCATATTATTATTATTATTATTATTATTATTATTATTATTATTATTATTATTATTATTATTATTGTTAGGGGACCCCAAATTAACAAATACATCGTAACACAGGCAAAACATCATAAATCAAAAATAAGTAGTAACCTGATTTTGGAATAAAATACAACTTAAGTTAAAATTGGGTAATAATAACTATAAATCGTAATTATAAGCATTTAACATTATCAGAATGTATAAAAAGATATTATTATTGTGCCAATTACTTATTGACTTTTTCCATGCGGAAATGTCATTGTTTTTGGTCATATTTTGTTTTCTACTATCCTGTATTCCCCTTTTTTTGCACAAGATTTTTCTGACCAGCACTTTGGTCACTTTCTGTGCTTGGATCCTTGGTTGAATACAAAATTACCATAAAATGCATGAACCGTTTTTATTATAACATTATGCAAGGTTGATGAACTAAAAATGCACAGACTCAACAGGGTCGAGTTCTATGACATATCGTTCTACATATTTTGAATATTAATAAACCAGGTAATTTACGTTAATACAATTTGCATTTCAAACTAGCTACAGCTGGGTTAAATGCAAAATTATTGTGAAAAAAGGTTTTGCCCTCAATCGATGATAATAGGTAGATAATAGGCACAATGATTAGAACTCTCCCTCACTATTACCAAGACAGTTGGTTTCCATATATTTTTACTCCATATTTTTTTTACTTTTTCATACAATTTTTAATTGTTAATTGTTTCAACTTTATAATTTCAACATTACTGTAGTTCTCATTATGACAATAAGAAAAAGCCCTAAGTTCTGTTTTACAAACAGACATAGTAAGTCTAGTTATTATTTTTAATTATACAAATTTTATAGGCATTTTAGTTAATACCTGAGCATCAATGGTAAGTCGAAGAGCTTTGTCTACAGCAAGAACTTGCCAGAGTGCTAAAATATGTTTCAGACGACACTGTTGAGATGCCTGGGGAAAAAATTGATTATTCAGTGACATAGATATACATTGTTTAAATATAAACAAAATGAATATTAATGCAATAAAAATAACAGGAATACAATACAATAATAATTTAACACTTTATAATACTGTACACTTTTAAAATAATATACATGCCTCATTGTTCTTCTAAGATAATAAAGATTACATTTCTTACTGTAGAGCTTATAAGTCCCTTGTCGACAGGCATGGCAAGTTTATCTTGCAAATAGTTTTTTATCAGCATGTCTCCCTCTGCTTTGTAGTTTGCCAAGAATCCAATGGCAATATCGAGTGATGCTAAAGATTTGCAGAGATTTTGGAAAGATTTAAGCTCTGTTACAATGCTACACCTCACAGCTGAGGTCAACTTAACCTGAAAAAGAAATAACATTTTATTTGTAAACTATTACAATTGTATTATCTTAGCATAGGGTACATAATTTTCGCACTAAATATTTATTAACTATAGCACAGAGCCGGTCCCGATGCAGAATTTTTCTGGATCCGTTCATTGGATCTTAATTCACTCATTATTCAATACTCAAGTTCACAAGGAAAGTAGTTTATTCAGTCAGATAATTAACTCATAATAAATACCACAAAATATCAATGTTGGAAGCTTATCCACTTACCTGAGGTATTTTATCTCGCAGAATTTTAAAGATGGATGCATTTCTGACAAACTGTCGGAAAAATAACTGATCAAATTTACAATCAATGAGCGCACGTCCCCTGATAAACCTCTCAATGAGTTGCAGCTCTAAACCTTGCAGGTTGTATTCAATTTTATTTCCCACCATTGGTCTTACAATGTATTGACACTGGGATAGAATCAATGGAAGGAGGTCACGGTCCAGGTCATACGCAATCAGGTGTGACGGCAGGAGGTCGGATGGAGAAACGCTTGCTTGACTGGAAATAAAAAATACAGTAGGTTGAATTGGGCAAATTAAATTGTTTCCCAAGCCTAAACCAACCCATAATAAAAGAAATCTAGGGTGTTTTTTTTTATGTTTATTAGAATACACAAGTTGTTTTTAAAGAATTCACTTCATGATGAAAATAAATTTGACAAAATAGTAACAAATACACTAATCTAAAGCCAACAATCCTAACTATGATAAAAAGTGCCACACATTTGAAAACAATTTTAACTAGACCAAGCTATATATGTCCAACCAAAAGGATGTTAAAAACTATATCAGAATCAAAATCTTACATCAACACACACACACACACCAAAATGTGTACATAAATAAAGTTTGGCCATCTGGATCAGAGCAGTCCAACCCTACCACACCTTAGTCAGTGACCCTGAAATGTCACCAGAGAGGCATATTAAGAGGTCGATTTGCAACTACCTTTTGTGAAAGGAGCACTAATTACTTTACTCAACTTATTAGCAAGTTATTAACTTCTGATATAAAAAAAAAAAATACAGAAAAAGAAACTTCGAATATAAATAAATAATAGTAAATCCCTATTATATATTTGGAAGAAACATTGTAGAACATGTGTTTACAATGGCTTTTTTTTCCCTTTTTTAAAGTCATTTTTTGCAGTTTTTTTCACAAAATTGTACATATATTTCTGAAATTACACATTAATGACAATTTACAAAACAGTTTAAAATAAGAATCTACCAAGTTTCAGAAAATTGCTTATTTTTATTCTTTATTCGCCAAATTTCGGGGGGGGGGGGGGATGTGGAAGGGTGTCACCAACATTTTGTGTATTACAACCGTTGTGCATCGCTTGAGTGTACTATTGTTAACTGCCATAAATGAGAGATTTGCAAATCCCCATTTGACATACTTTGCACAGTTCTTTATATAAAAAAATAACTCTAAATTCCTTAAACTTGATGTATTTTTTACCTTTGTATCCAATATAAATTTTCCTTTTCCTTCTCTTTCCCTATCCCTTCATTCTGCTTTTTATGTAGCCTTTCTCAATAGCTCTTCCTCACTGACTGTGTTTCCATTTCTTTTGTCTGTCTCTAATTATCACATCTATCAACCTTCATCTGTCTAATACTCGTTCTTTATAGACCACTGATTTTTATCTATCCAAATTCTACAATCCTTCTTTAAATTCTTTGTATCTTATTACATATTTTACAGAAGTATTACCTCATCTGCAACTTTTTGATACTATGATATCTCTCAAGAAATTCATTTTGTGTAACGATGAGGAAGTCAACCAGACCAGTGGCACACAGACCGAAATCTCGCTTGGTTGGTAGCAACATCGCTATGTTACTCTCATACGACATGACCTCTTTTGGGATTTGCAACTCCACTGAAATGTGATAGAACACATAAATATGTCATAAAAATGAATATCTTTGAATATTTGTATAGTTGTGGCAAGCAATTTCCCTCTTCATTTATTGGAAATTAAATTTCAAAATCATCTGTAAAATACAATTTATATTTTCACTAATATGAGAACAAAATACTAAAAAACTGTAATAACAAAAAAAAGCAATTACAAATAAGCAAAATATTAATAAATGCATATTAACTTGAAAGATCACATAATTACCTCCGCCAAGGAGCTTATGTTTTTGCCCCTGTTTATATTTTTGTCTGTCTGTTTGTCTACAGGCCACAGATTTTATCAGAAACTACTTGGTCACAATGATCCATAACAAAAGATCTCGAGGTGATTAAATTTTAAAAGGTTATAGTCAAAGTAAAAACTAATTTTATATATAACTGCCTACAGCTAACAATTTTTATTACAAATTCGTCAAACTTGGTCACAATGCTCCATGACCAACAATCTAAAGATGATTGAATCTTTAAGGGTCAGGGTCAAGGGTGAAGGTCACAATCGATGAAAAACTACTTTATTTATATAACAACCGAAAGTTCAGTTTTCCTCAGAAATATTTCATAATTAAAGTTCTGGAAGTGACTAAATTTTGAAGGACCAAGGTCAAAGGCACAATGAATGAAAAATAGTTTTTAACTGTCAGCCGTAAGGACGCGTGCTTGTGTGCTTACAGGGTATGGCGAAGAAGTGTAGTAAAACATAGTGGCATTAATTTTACAGCGATACAGCGTGTAGTGGTCAGCCGTAAGGACGCGTGTTTGTGTGCTTACAGGGTATGGCGAAGAAGTGTAGTAAAACATAGTGGCATTAATTTTACAGCGATACAGCTTGTAGTGGTCAACCGTTAAGGACGCGTGTTTGTGTGCTAACAGGGTATGGAGAAGAAGTGTAGTAAAACATAGTGGCATTAATTTTACAGCGATACAGCTTGTAGTGGTTAACACAGTGTTTTACACATTCCAACCCCGGGTTCGAATCCCATGAGGTGCTAACGATAAATTTTCTTACCCCAGCCCCAACCTTGGTGGGGCTGAGGTAGTATAGACCCTCCACCTGTGAAAGTCCCTCTCTGGGCCCCCTCTATTTCAAAATTCCTGGATCCGCCACTGAGACAACTCATTTAACCATGTCTGCCACAAGTGACCTCTTCCAATTTGGACCCCTGTTAAAGTGTCTCAATTTCATCAGCAGTACATGTACCACACAAGTCTTGTATTTTATGCTTTTATATTTTGCTGAATAAAGAAAGAACATCAGGTGGCCATTTTCAGTATAACAAATATATTTAATAAAGGGATCAGAAATAAATTCTTAGAAATAAAGTTTACTAATACATACACTACCTGTTAATGCAACATCCAGTCTGACAGAATTCCACACGTCAATAAATGTGTCAATCAAACTCTTAAACTCCTCCCTCTCGGTTGCTGCAATATCAAATAAAAACAAACATTTTTGAAAAAAATTGGTTCTTTTTGGTACAAATTATTACAGAAATCTAGTCAAGTGACTTTGGAGCATAACTCTACCTTGAAAATATAATCTACAGAGTCAAATACCAGCATCCATGCTGATAATAATGATGATTATTATTATTATCATTATTATTGGCTTTTACCGCACTATTGGAAAAGCTATTATTTTTGTTTTGATTTTTCTCTTTTCTATCCTGTATTCTATCCTTTCAATTTTTTGCACAGGCTTTTCTGTTTGAGACTTTGGTCACTATCCGTGAATGGATTTTCATAAAAGTTTATCCAAGCAATGACCATATATCAAAGAAGTGCAAATTAAAATATGAAATCATTTTTCATATTTTTAATAATAATAACTGGGTAATTGAACTTTTTATGTTGATGCAATTTGCATTAAAAACTAGCTACAGCCAGATTCAATGCAAAATGTGATGTGTGAATGTGAAATGTATAAATAGGTTTGCCCCCAATCTACAACATGAAAATACTCTGACCTCTGCAGGGTCAGGTTCAATGGTGCAATGGTTTAATTCATCACATCATTCATATTAGCAGCCCTAGTTCGAGTCTTACTTTTAGTTGGTTTCCATGGTATTTTTTTACTGCATAGTTTTCTTTATTATGATTGATTTTTTGTTTCAAATGTATGTTTTAATTTTCACTTTTCCAATGAATTTTTACTTTGTAATTTCAAACATCAGTTCTCATTATGGCAATGATAAAACCCTATATTCTGTTTTACAAACAGACATACAGTAAGTAGTCTAGTCATTATTATTATTGTATCTAAAATGCCACTTCATGAAAAATATCTTATTTGGTGCAGAGTTGAGCACGGTGTTTATTTTATCGCTTCTGGTGGTAATAATTTTACCCTGTGTGCTGTTACCTGGTGGGTAGGCTTGAGTACATTGTTTAAAACTGGAAGCTATATCAGCTGAGGTTTTACACCCCTGTTAGGTTCAACCAGGTCGGGCAGATTTCAGGGCTAGGGGTCAGACAAAAGTCAGCACCTGGTCCTCTAGGTTTGGGTTTGGACATGGGGCTAACAACCCCATTCCATAAAACACAAATGTTACAGAAACTGCGCATGCAAATAGAATAGGGACACAAACTTCAGCCAGGGATCCAAATAAAGGCTCCAACCCAAACATATGACAGCTTCAGATGATGTCGGAAGCTTGACAGAGTCTTCTTAGACCCAAATCTACCATCCGAATTAGGGCAAAAATTCGACTAAAATTTTGAGTCTAGGGAGTACCATTCCCAGCCATCTAGAGGTGCTAACCATAAATGTTCTTACCCCAGCCCCAACCTTGGTGGGGCTGAGGTAGTATAGTCCCTCTCTGGGCCCCCTCTATTTCAAATTCCTGGATCCGCCACTGAGACAACTCATTTAACCATGTCTGCCACAAGTGACCTCTTCCAATTTGGACCCCTGTTAAAGTGTCTCAATTTCATCAGCAGTACATGTACCACACAAGAAAGTATAATACATACTCCAAGTATTGAAATACACGCCATCGTGTTGGATTCAATATTTCGACATTAATTATGTCATCATCAGGAATTCCTGATGATGACATAATTAATGTCGAAATATTGAATCCCAACACGATGGCGTGTATTTCAATACTTGGAGTATGTATTATACTTTCTTATCTGAGATTAATCAGTGGACCTTTCGGTTTTTGTACCACACAAGTCTTGTATTTTATGCTTTTATATTTTGCTGAATAAAGAAAGAACATCAGGTGGCCATTTTCAGTATAACAAATATATTTAATAAAGGGATAGGAAATAAATTCTTAGAACTACAGTTTAATACATACACTACCTGTTAATGCAACATCCAGCCTGACAGAATTCCACACGTCAATAAATGTGTCAATCAAACTCTTAAACTCCTCCCTCTCAGTTGCTGCAATATCAAATAAAAACAAACATTTGAGATAAAAATTGGTTCTTTTTGGTACAAATTATTACAGAAATCTAGTCAAGTGACTTTTTAACATAACTCTACCTTGAAAATATAATCTACAGCGTCAAATACCAGCATCCATGCTGATAATAATGATGATTATTATTATTATCATTATTATTGGCTTTTACCGCACTATTGGAAAAGCTATTATCTTTGTTTTGATTTTTTTCTTTTCTATTCTGTATTCTATCCTTTCAATATTTGCACTGGCTTTTCTGTTTGCCACTTTGGTCACTTTCCATGAATGGATTTTCATCAAAGTTTATCCAAGCAATGACCATATATCAAAGAAGTGCATATTAAAATACGAAATCATTTTTCATATTTTTAACATTAATAAATGGGTAATTGAACTTTTTATGTTGATGCAATTTGCATTTAAAACTAGCTACAGCCAGATTCAATGCAAAATGTGATGTGTGAATGTGAAATGCATAAATAGGTTTGCCCTCAATCTACAACATGAAAATACACTGACCTCTGCAGGGTCAGGTTCAATGGTGCAATGGTTTAACTCATCACATCATTCATATTAGCAGCCCTAGTTCGAGTCTTACATTTAGTTGGTTTCCATGGTATTTTTTTACTGCATAATTTTCTTTATTATGATTGAATTTTTGTTTCTCATGTATTTTTTAATTTTCACTTTTCCAATGAATTTTTACTTTGTAATTTCAAACATCAGTTCCCATTATGACAATGATAAAACCCTATATTCTGTTTTACAAACAGACATACAGTAAGTAGTCTAGTCATTATTATTATTGTATCTAAAATGCCACTTCATGAAAAATATCTTATTTGGTGCAGAGTTGAGCACGGTGTTTATTTTATCGCTTCTGGTGGTAATAATTTTACCCTGTGTGCTGTTACCTGGTGGGTAGGCTTGAGTACATTGTTTAAAACTGGAAGCTATATCAGCTGAGGTTTTACACCCCTGTTAGGTTCAACCAGGTCGGGCAGATTTCAGGGCTAGGGGTCAGACAAAAGTCAGCACCTGGTCCTCTAGGTTTGGGTTTGGACATGGGGCTAACAACCCCATTCCATAAAACACAAATGGTACAGAAACTGCAAATAGAATATGGACACAAACTTCAGTCTGGGATCCAAATAAAGGCTCCAACCCGAACATTATGACAGCTTCAGATGACGTCAGAAGCTTGACAGGAGTCTTCTTAGACCCAAATCTACCATCCGTAGGCATGGAATGTACACACCATGTTTGCAACATCAAAGCAGCACAAGTTATCAGTGAGTTTAGAGGTATAAACTGGACATCTTGGGTGTGAGTGAGTGCAGGTGGATTGGTTCAGGCCGTAAGTTGAAAAGTGAGCGACATATCCTCTTTTCTGGCAGAGACGACGCACATCAAGTGGAGTAGCTCTAATCACAACAAAATCCATCTTTTTTGGTTACCATATGTATATATATCTGCTTTTAAAATCTTGTAGTTAAAAACTGAACCACTTTGGAAACCAGTACTATGTAATGAAAGTGTATATTCAGTATAAAGAAAGAATAAATAATAATTTCTAATGTTGATTGATTTTTAGAATACAAATAGAATTTTGATACACTAATTATTGGCTTCTTTGCTTTCCCGTATTTACAGTAAATTCGAACTAGATGGCATACCCTCATTTTCTTGTGGTTGTGATGGTAGCAACTGATAAGTTTACTCTATACAGTATATGAGGGATCCTATCCCAAAACCAGTGTACTTTTGCTATATGCTAATGTCAGTAATTAGCATAAGATTGTGGCAGTATTGCATACTTTAGCACTGAGAGGACATAATACTTTTACTCATAACTTTGGCAATAGACATTTGTGGTACATGACCCATCATTTTTTAAAGCCTAAAATGTGGAGAAAACAAATATATTAAAAAAGTCAATGTTCATTTTTGTTCACTTATTCTTTTTTGTGATGGCAATCCTCATACACTATATTCAACTTTTTAACTTTATATTCCTAAAATCACAATACTAATGTGACTTGGTGAGACCATCAACAATATATTACCATAATGTACTTGACCCAAAAATGTAGAAATTTTCAAGTTGGTAGCTTCAGCCAAGTCAATGTGCCTGTTGTATTTATTGATTAGGAGACGCTGAAGTCGGATAATGTCTGGCAAATGTTGTACAAATCTCAGATGCTTCTCCTGTAGAGAAATAGTAAGCAGTTAAATACACTAGATGTTCAAATTTACACAAAAACAAAAGTATGATACTTCTATTTCTAATCCACTGACAAAAAAATAACTTTTCCATACAATCTATTAGGCCAATGCTCCACCAGATGTGGTCAATCAACCAAGTGCAACAAGTTTCAAGTCTATTTTATTCAAATGAGTATCTCATAATTACACAAGTAGAAATATACAAATCAATGTGATGTTGGTAGTCTCTGTATGAGATACTTACATGGTGAACTAACTTTTCCTTCAGCAAAAATTATCTTTTAAACATATTTAGAATAAAAAAACATTCTGTATTTTATATTCAACAATTCATAAGAAGGAAATGAGAACAAGCATATGGATTTTGCCATTGCCATGTATCAGTATATTTTTTGTGGGTGTGTCTATTTTAGGAAAAATTGCAAGTTGGTTAATCTAGATATATATTCACAAAATAGACTGTTTATTTACGTCCTGTATTTATTTAGCAATTTTACTTGAAAAAGAAAATGAAGAATCTATTAAACAAAATAATGTAACCTTTTCCATAAATAGTCTAAGGACTGGCAAAGAAGCACCATCTTCTTCACTTGCTAAAGCTTGATGAATACATTGAATGGTGATACGGCTACGGTACTGCCATACGTGTGAAGTCTCCACCAGTTTACCAAGGTCGTCTGGTTCAACAGGATTTGCAGTGTGCAATAATCGCATCACAGGGTCATGGCTGAGACGTTTGTCAGAAACCAGAGTCTGGTTTGATTGGTCGATCATTTCATCAAGTCCCTAGATGCAGATAATTTAAACATTTTTATCAAAAAACATTTGGTAGGTATACAGTATTTATAAATTAATCTAAAAATTATGGTGCATTCAAATATATATCCTGCAGTATTGTTGCATTATTATTTCATATATTTATCGTAATTATCATTTCTATATTATTATTTATTATATTATTTTATTATTATAGGATGAAAGGTGACCCCTGAGCGTATCTCGCATATCCTTGATAGATCGTCTCCCAACTTTGAGTATGTTATAGCTGAAACAATTCTCTTTCATATATGCGACTTCTTTTTACATTTTGATGACATCATCATGGTCAAAACAAATGTTTTTTCTGACCTCTCATTTTTCTTTCCTCAAATCTTTGATGACCCCCATATCACCATAACCAGTCGTCATTTCTGAATCATATACAGTGGGCATAAACTTCAGGTCAAGGTTGAATGTCATGTACTTTAATTTTATGTGCGTGCTTCAAAATTTAAATATGCTTAAAATCATGCCTATTTTCAATCAGTTATAGCTCCTTAGGATGAAAGGTGACCCCCAATTTTCATTACATATTCTGAAAGCAAGCACATGAGTTGTAAATATGATTTTATAGATCATTTTGGTTGATCAGACATTGTGACGTCATCAAATTCGCTTCTGAATTATTCATAATCAAAATTTCCATCACATTATTCAAATTGATGATCATCATATCAACATCATCATTATAATCAGTGGCGGCTCTAGGATATATTTTCTAGGGGGGGGGGGCGCGGATAGGATGAAAGGTGACCCCCAATTTTCATTACATATTCTGAAAGCAAGCACATGAGTTGTAAATATGATTTTATAGATCATTTTGGTTGATCAGACATTGTGACGTCATCAAATTCACTTCTGAATTATTCATAATCAAAATTTCCATCACATTATTCAAATTGATGATCATCATATCAACATCATCATTATAATCAGTGGCGGCTCTAGGATATATTTTCTAGGGGGGGGGGGCGCTGAGCTGTCCGACGGGGGTACTTGAGCTTGTTGGTCTGAGCTAGGGAAAGGGTTCTAGAGGGGTTCCCCCTCCCAAATGAGATTTTTTAGGAATAGGAACATCTGGATGGCCAGAAATGACACTCTCAGTCTGTGATAGACATGTGTTGGCTTGGCGTGGGCCTATTTTTATATACTTTTTGCTCTGACTGCCCAACAAGCTCTGTCCAATGGGGAGGGGGGGCTTGACCTGTCTGGTGGGAAGACTTAAGTCCCTGCTGTCCCCCCTCCCCACTAATTATAATCATCATCATTGTTATTTTAATTGATTGATTTCTTCTGTTAAACCTACCTGAAGGGCTGGTTTAATATACACTGCTAAAAAATTCTCTTCCCATTTTTTACGACATTTCTTTGATGACAACAGTTGCTGAAAGCCAGACTGAAAATTTGCTACAAAAAAAAAAAATTGTAAGAATCTGTTACTATAGTATAATTAATAGATAGTGCCTAATAGTACACTGGTTTAATATACACTGCTAAAAAATTCTCTTCCGATTTTTTACGACATTTCTCTGATGACAACAGTTGCTGAAACAGATTGTAAGAATCTGTTACTATAGTATAAAATAATAGACAGTGCTTATAATGTAGTCCACTTAATAATATTTTCTGATTTACTGGTTTATCAATTTTTGTGACTACTGCCCTCATTATCAAATCAATAAAATAAAAATATTTTATTAATTTGCAGTTTCATGATCTGGTGTCATAATGGACATTTTGAGAATGTCAAGCAAACTTAACGACTGACCAATCAGAATGGCTAGAAATATGCGCTTTGTCTCCAAAACACATTGTCCCACAAATGCATGTTTGTACTGTCATCTTTTAGGACCTTAGCAACAACATCCAACGAGCGGGGCTTAGCAGAGATACATGAAACTTGACCAACTTTCAGGAAATAGTGTATGATATGCAACTATTTGTTTATTAGTTGGGGTAGTCTAGCTAGGCTGCGCTAGACTACCCTGGCATAGTTGCATAGCCCTAGAATTTTGGTGATGGGAATTCAGTGAAAAGAAATATCTTAGATAAACAAAATATTTTTTAAGTAGTTGTACAATGCTGTGTAACCAATAAACCTGTAAATTTTGATAAAATTATTCTTACATTGAATGTTCTTGTGCAAAATATTGTCAATAACTTTGTGAAGAATGAAAATGCAGTCATCCTTGCTCTTGCCTGTAGAGGCAGACAACAATCTTACATCATTATGCAAATGTTTCCATAGGAATTCAAGCACATTATCTGGAGCAGGCTTAATTATGTTGATTATTGCCTGAAAGAAACATGAAAAAAAGTTTGAGAGTATGCTTCAATAATCAGGAGAAGCAGAAAATGATATGCTTCTTTGTTACAAGTGCAATTCATAGTTTATTCACATCACAAATGATTAAAATCTGATACCAATTTGTCATATGTTCCTGTAAGGTAGCCAACAACTACCACTTGGGGATTCTGGGCATTGGGCTTATGGGGCACTGGGAATTGACTGTTTAAATAAAAAATAAATATGATGTATCTTGTACTTAAAAATAAAGGAAAGGTATAAAAAAAAGGCACATTTTAATGAGATTAAAGATTTGGGAAATGGTAGGAGGTTTTTGCTGAAGGTCTGAGTGGGGATTCTGGCGATAGAGTGGACAAATGCTGACAAAATATAGTGATATGTGTCATTTTTTTTGCTTGGCAAATTTTCAGTGGGGCTGGGGAAGAGAGCGAAGCCAATACCCTAACTCTGGCTAGGACTGTATGTAAAAATTGTGTGTCTTAAACAGTTTTAAGCCACATTTTCAACAATTGTTAGACAACTATATAAATATTTAATGCTGTCCAGCAATTTAAACGTCTTTTCTTATTTATCTTATTTTATATTATCATTAATTATTTAATAATTTTTTACACAATATTTTAGTATTTACTAAATTGTCTC